CCCTGGGGAAATCTCTCGAGGAGTAGGCACTGAGCTTTAAACTTGGGTCTTGATTTCTATCCCGCAACTCAGTTCTAGCCTGGAATGTCCAGGGCAACAGGTTCTGCCCCAGGAAGGTTCTTCCTGTACTTAGGAGCAAGCTGTTAGCTTAGGGGCTAGCAAAAGGGTACGGCAGGAACTAGGTCCCCAGCACAGCGGGCATAGATACAGAAGGGGCTCAAGTGCTTGGTCTCACCCTGCAGCAAGGGTCTGAGAAACCAAGCAGGCTGGGAGACGTCAGCCTGCACCTCCCCTCCCCCTCCCACACCAGTCCCTTCCCTCCTGAACCCAGCTCTCAGGGGGGAGGGGCAGTCCTGGAAGAGGGTCAGGAGCTGCCCAGAAAAAGCCCAGGCGGTATTTAGACAAGGAACAGACTCTAAAATCAATGCAGGAGTGAGGAAAAAAATTAGTGGGGCGTGCATGGATCCCCTGGAGAAGGGTCTTTTCAGGTCAAGGTGAGGGGGACCAGGTCACTCCTGGTGCAGGGAAACATTACTCCTGTGTCAGGTGTGAGGGATCCAGCCCTGAGGAGCCTCGTGGCGCTGGTGGGGTGGGTGCCATTTACAGCACTGTGAAGGTCTCCACGAGCAGAGGTAGCTGGTGGCAGAGATGCCAGCTTCAAGGGAGTTCCATACTAGGTAAGCACACTAAAGGGAGGGAAGCAGTGGCTGCTTAAAAGAGAAATTCAGTCTTAGGGGAGGAAGCAGCATTGCCCAAGACAGGTGACAGTCCCAAAGGGCATCCCAATCTCCAAGGGTGTCTCAGCCTCCAGGAATCACAGTCAGGAGGTCCCAGCTTCCAGGGGGTAGGCTAGGCTCTGGGTTCCCAGTCTTAAGGGCTACGGGAAGTCCACAATAGATGGAGTTGGAGCCTGGCATGGATGGAGTAACAGGGAAGCGGATACAGGATCTCCAGGCTGGAGAAGTGTGCTGAGGATTGGAGTGTCACCATTCAGTGGGACTACAGGACTTCAAGTCTCCAAGGAGGGCTTAGCACGGAAGGTAACCCACCCCTAAAGAAGCTGAGTATTGAAGGCAGACGGGAAGCCCAAGTCCAGCGAACATGGGCAGATACCTCCTGGAGACTACCAATCTCGAAGCCATTTACCTCTCTGTTGCCAGTCTGGAGTAGAGTCCCTACCCAAAGGAGGCCTTCTGGGGGTCCTTGCATGGTGGGGACCCCATGGGAGTCCTGTCCTCTGGGAGATCGGCTGGCATATCCCACTGTATGAGGTTGGTCGCCCAGCCATCCCCACGGTCTCTCACCTTCGAAGAAGCGCTGCAGCGCTTCGGTCTCGTCCACCACCTCCATGGCCCGCCTGCCCGGCGTGTGCGCTCCGGCCGCAGCCCCGCTACAGCGTGGCCCGGGGGCGCGGCATCGCCGGCGCGGCCCGCGCGACAGTCCCGGCTGGGCTCCCGCTACAGTCCCTCCAGGCTCGCCTCACGCTCGCTACCCGCAGCCCTAGCCCGGACTCCGCCTGCCCCGCGCCCCGCCCGCTGCCCGCCGCGCCCTCTGGCGGTAGACCTGAGCCGCAGTCTCGGGTAGCAGGACGCCCCGCCGCTTGCAGGGGGCGCTCGACGGGTACCCTCGCATTGAAGTTAAGGCATCGGCCGCTTTTCAAGCTCTCCTTGAATGGGTAAGGTTCCAGGTTACGAGTCTAAAGTTTTTCAGAAACAGATCTCAGAGATGGCTCCTATTCTTTTTGCTACCCACCTTATCCCAGTGAAAGCAACGTGCATGCACCAAAGGAATGTTTGTAATGTTTAAGGTCAGCACAGAGCACTCTACAAGTGTGTCGCCTCAGATAATTGGGGTGAGTCTTTACCACAGAGAAACTCCCCCCCTCCCCACCGAGACAGGAACTATGTAGTTCTGGCTGTTATGGCGCTCACTACGATTCGCCTTCTTGTACCTCCCGAGTGTAGGGACTAAAGGCCTTCATCACTACACCCAGCTGGAAGGAATTATAATTTTCATAAGGGCCCCGTCTAAAGAAATGCTTCTACAAAGAGCTTTCTAGATTGCTGGAAATACTCTAGGTGTTGTCATGAGCCACAGTGGCAGCTGAACACCTGAAATGTGGTCCTGGTCGGTAAGACTTTTCAGCTGGATTTTCTTTTGGAGCTTAGTTAGTCATGTGGGATCATAGTGGCAGTGGACAGGGGACCACTGCCCTGGTGAAGAGAGACTTGAGAGCTTGGCCTGAAATCGTGTAGGGTGAAGCCAACTCCCCCTGTTTTCACTCTCACCCCCTTCTCATCCTCTCCACAGCATCTCTCCTGCACTATTGCCCCCCCCAAAACCATTGTTCATAAAGTAGAAACCAGATCACACCACACTTTTGATAAAAAAAAAAAAACAAAACAGTGGTTTCCCCTGGTTGAGGGGAGGCAGGAGGATCGCAAGTGCAAAGTCAGTGGGGGCTACTAAGTGAGGCCCTGTCTCAACCCACATAACACACACACACACACACACACACACACACACACACACACACACACACACCAGTAACAGCCCAGAAGGGTGGGAGAACTTGCTATCTAATCAAGATACTAACGCAGTCAGCCTAGAACTCTTGCCTCCTCCTGGCGGTGGCCGCTGCACTAAGGGGGCATGCTAGCCCAGTTCTGCAGGTAGTGACCCCATGAGCTCGTCTAATTCCCTTCTGCCTCCCTCTTTCTCAGTGGCCAGCATGGGGGAAGGGCAGCCAGAGCCTGAGCTCCAGATGTGGCCCAGTCAGCAGGCTAGTGGGGGCCCTCCGAGGAGGGCGTGGGGGAGGGGGTGCCCAGGCCGGCGGGTGCTTCACAATGAGGTTTTGTCCCTCTGGGGGCGGTTCTCAGAGCCGCCTCTCTTAGGTATATAGAGTGGGATTTTGCTGGAGGCCCAGCTGTGGGCACTGACCACAGCTCCCTCTTCCCAGCCGCGGCCCCCACCGAGGGGGGAGGGGGCCACACTGAGCGGCCCATTCTTTTCCAACTCATGTACCCAGAGGTTTGTCTCCTCTGCAGACTCCCCTAAGACAATTGTTATTCTGCACTCTGGCCCCTCCTCCAACCAGGGTCAGGCCTGCTTGTAGACAAAGTGAACACCCCGTCATGCCTTGCAACTCTGAAAGATGAATTTATTTCCTGAGTTGCCTGGGACAACTAGAGAAATAACACCCCTTTGAAACGCCAACTACCCGAAGATCATTCCTGCGTACTCTACCCATAAATTCTATGTTTAAATGTCTGTCTCAGGGTGGGCTGGTGACTTCAGTACTGATCTTGTCAGGTCCTTAAGGGCTGAGGATGGGGTGACCCACTGTGAATGCTCTCAAATCCAGGGTAGACCTGAGGTTAGACCAGGCAGGAAGAAGGCCCCTTTTAATTTCATGGGAGCGGGGCCCTGCCACCCCCCTATTCCACTAGGGCCACGGAGCAAAAGTGCAGCCACACCCCAGGGCCTCCCATGTCTGGGCTGGAGTGAAGGCGGAGGCTTAGACACCGTGATGAAGTTGAAGTCCAAGTGCAGGAGGGCCTACCCCAAAGCAGGGTGATGCTGGGGCTAGTAAGAGCCTAGGGAGACTTTTGTACCAGACTTTGTCATCTGTAGAGATGGCTGCCATCTGCTGTGTGACCCTGAGCAAGCCACAGTACCTCTCTGGCCATTTGCTCTGCTTCTGCCCCATCAGGCTCAGTATCATTTGCAGTATAGTAAGAGGGGAAACCACCATGAGAGGAGGGTCCTAGGCTAGGACAAGCCTCTGGATTTGGTCCTACGTCTGTCTGTACCTCTTGTGTGACCCAGAGCAGGCTGTTTCTGCTGTTGTCTAGCTCCATCAAGTGGGGTCATACTGGACTTGGGAGGCAGTCTGAGTGGGAAGGAGGTGGAGTCGAAGCTTGGCTGGGCCAAGGGTGGCTACACCAAGCTCTGCGGGCCACACTGAGACCAGTTGGAGAAACAGCGCCCTCTGCTGTGTGGAGGTTTCAGGGCTTGAGGCTGGCAAGATGATCAGCACTGCCTCTTTACCCTGCGCTCCTCCTGCTATTCCCCAGCCTCGGTGCTCTGGATCCAGGTTAGGCTGTGTCCCTGTGGCTTCCCAGGTGTTTACACTCCCCCAGAGAAGCCCTCAGCTAAGCTTCTAGTGGCTTCAACACTTCAGTGCTACCTCTCTGGGATTGCCATTCCCGCTACAGCTCACAGCACGGGGTGAAAGGCAAGGGGTGGGCAGGCCTGGTGGAACCAGCCTGGGATTCCAATTGCTGGTTCTCCATCTGGGGCAGTTCACCTACTCCTGAGTCTCAGTGCTCTCTGGGAGGGACAACATGCTTCAAGTGTATTATGTGACAGATACTAACCCTTCCCCCAGTATAGCTTGCTTAGGCAGGACTCAACAAGTGACTGGTCTCAAGCGCTCAGGATTCAAGGGGACTTCCACCTGCTTGATGTAACTCAGCGCTGTCCTGGGCCTGGGCACTGACATGGCAGGAAGCCAGGGGAAAATACAGGGCTCTCCCTAGCGCAGCAAACCGTATCTGTATATTGTTTTTAAGTTTCTATTATGTTTGTGCATTTATTTTGGGGGAGGTGTGCATGCCTGTGGAGATCAGAGGACAGTTTGGTGGCAGGCATTTCTTACCATGATTCCTGGGAAGCAAACTCAGGTGGTCCAGCTTAGGGACAAGTGCCTTGACCTACCTACTGAGCCATCTTGCTGGCTTAGCACGTAATTTTAACAAAACCATGGGAACTGTATCAACCTCAAGCCCCACAGTTCTAACCCGCTGGGCTGTTCTTGCACCTTCCTACATGCCTTCTGTCTTTGGGGGCACAAAAGGCTTGGTCCCAAGAATCCTCAGGTTTTCCCCTCCGGCTTTCTGGCTCCTCTAGGGAATGGTCTCAGAGGTCCTCATTCCCTGGTAGCTGTGATCTTGGCAGCATGTCCCCACACTGCCTCCATTCCCGCCTGATGAAAAGACGATCACAGGAGGCAGAGGTGTGCTTCTACATCCAGTTTATACACAGCTCTATACAATATACAGAAAACTTTATATACAGATATATTTATAGAATAAGCTATATTAATGTCTCTCCTTTTTACAGCAATATTAGTGTAGATCTTTCATACATTAAGTACAAAAAAGTCACGGGAGAATGGCACACGGAGTGCAGAGGGTTGTGAGGGCCTGCCTGCTCGCTACTATTTGCATATGCAAGTCCCCCAGATCCCTGGGAGGACAGGCCAGCGCATGGCTGGGAGAGCTTGTGCTGTGGGTCTGGGGGCAGTGTGGGGGTCAATCTGAACTGGGATGAAGGGGGTGGCTCAGACCCCCCAGATGTGGCATGGAGTGACAGGAACGTGCAGCACGCCCACCCTTCTGGGGTCAGCAGGGAGAGGACAGGGAAGGGGTGGGCTGGCCCTGGGTGTCTAGGGCTGAGTCCAAGCCTGCCCCAGCCCCAAGCCTGTAACACAGTATGGCTGCAGCCTTGGGGGTGGGGGGTATGTCCCTGATGGCTCAGTCCTAGGCACAGGGGCACACCCTAGAGGAGCCCCCCACACCTACCCTGGCAGAGGAAGAGTTAAAAGGCCAGATCCACAACTCTCCTTGCTGCTGGCTGGGTGCTTGTTGGGTTGTTTCTCTGATTTAAAATTCTGTCTAACGTTTGAATTCTAATAACCACTGATTTTTATTTTACTTCTGTGCTAGGCTGAGGCACTGCCTTGGCAGGGGGCAGAGTGGCCAAGAGTCTGGTGAGGTGGGGGGTCACAGAGCAAGGGGAGGCCCAGCTCCCAGCTCTCTGTCTTCATCTGTTAGGGCAGATAGCTATCCAGGCCACCCCAGCTGTGGGGATGAGAGTTGGGGCTGGGGCCCAGATACCAGTGACCATGAGGTGGTCAGGGGAGCCTAGGTAGCCCAGAGAAGCTGTGAGTGGGGCTAGAGTGGTAGGGACTATGTTTCCAAGGAGACGAGGGCTCGAGTGGGCAGTTGCTTGCCTGCACACCCCTGTAACTGGTTTGTCCCAAGGCTTCACTTCACAGGCTATATTCTTGGCAGGTTAGGAGCATCAGGAGGCAGGCAAGGTGGGGAAGGCGGGCAGCCCTCTGCAGCCCCTTTCCTCAGGAGTGGTGCACATTCATGCACATGCACACACACGCCTGACACTAGCATGCACAACCTCCCCACCCCAGCATGGGGAAAAGGCTAGGTTCCTACCTCCTGGACTGCTTCTCCAAACCGTAGGGAAGCCACGAAGGCCTCAGGCTACCCTGGGACAGCCCTAGTAACTGGCCCCTCCCCTCAACAGTGGGCAGGGGTTTCCAGCCAGGATTCAAGATACCCTACTCTTGGCCCTTCTTCTTGCGGGCAGAACATAATGGGAGGTGGAGCCCAGACCCAGAAAGGAGCTAAGTAGCCAGGAGAGCAAGTGGGCAGAGGCATGTTTGGTTTCAGACCCCAGAGCCCAGAGCTGCCTAGGCATGGTGGGGTAACATAAAGGGGTCAGGCAGGATACCCAGGAGATGGGGCTTTGGATGCCTTTGTTCTTCCCAGGGCCCTGACTCTGCAGCCAGGGATGATGTCACAGGAGTGTCCACCACCCTTTGATTGGCCAGAGTCCTGGGGGTGGGGGAGGGAGACGGTGAGCCAGGAAGCCAGGGAGTGGCAGGTAGGCAGGCAGACCCAGTGGCCAGGACCCATGAAGATAAGGGCCACCAGGCAGAGAAGGGGTGGCCCTGACCCCACTCACCTCCAGGCCCCTCTGGTCCTCAGGGGACAATGAACACATGATTAGGGGTGGGGCTTGCAAGCCCAGGAAACAACCTGAGCAAAGCCCAGCAGATTCTGTAAACATATACAGCACTGTGGGCCACCTTGGCGGGGATCACCCCAGGGGGCTGGCCAGCAGGCACCAGATCTGGGGGATAGGGACCAGGGCAGGTGCCAACGTGAACGACGTATGAGAGTGTGTGGAGAGGGGGCTGCTTTCTGCCTCGGCTCTGGGAGAGGAGCTGAAGGGCAGTGACAGGAAGCTAGCTTGCCTAGTCCCATTCCCAGAACAGAGATACCAGGCTGCCCACACAGGGGAGTCAGGCTGAGGGCTGAGGATTGACCATCCAACCTCAAGTCTCCTCCCTGTACCAAACCCACCCCGGTTTTTCCCAGACATCTTGGTTCTGAGGGTCCTAGGCTGAGGTAGGGATGTGGACCCCCTGCTCAGCAGCAACGCTCCAGGGCCTGAGGCCACTTGGCCTCTGGGAGCCTCTCCTCAAAGCTACTGGGCCCCAAGTGGCCATTAGGTACCCATAGAGCCTTGAGTTCTGGTTGGGGAGGAGCTAGCAGCCACTGCCAGGTGCTAGCGTGCTGAGATGCCCAAATCATCTTGCTTGGTAGGGCTGGCCCCGTGGCCCGTGGGGGTGGAAGTCCGGATCTTGTCTGTGGCCAGACACTCCTGGCTGCTGAGGCCCGTGGGTGTCAGGTCCATGAGCTCCCCGGAGGAGCTGAGTGGGAAAGAGGGTGAGAGTGAGATGCCAGAGGAGGGGTCAGCAGATCCTGCAAAGAGCCTTGGGGGCTTGGGTACCAGATTGGGCTCAAATTGGGCCCGAAGCAAGATTTCCTGTTGGCTGGGGGACTTGGGGCCCTCAACATAGTCACTAGTGGGGCTCTCGGGCACCACCATGCAGTAGAGGTCCTGGAAGGAGCTGCTCTTGCTGTCCAGGTTGAAGAGGCTGTCGATGAACTCAGCAAATTCTAGCACCTGAGGGCTGGGTGAGTCCCCCAGGCGCCCATTGTGCAGTGCCAGATCTCCTCGGGGGGCCACCCCACCACCCTCGCCGCCTGCTGCCTCCTCTTCTTCATTGGTTGCACTTGGGGGTCGCTCAGGAGTGACACCCCCACTGCCCAGAGCTGCCTCCAGGGGTTGGGTATCCTGCGAGTGCTTGGACAGGCTGTCGGCTGCCAGAAGCTCTGTGCGCGAGCTGAGGGATGGGTTCTCCTCTGGAATGGCCGGATCGATGTAAAAGAGGTGGCCCTCATCACGCTCCAGTACCGCGTGGAGGCTGGGTGAGCCTCGGATGCTGCGGAAGCCCGAGGAACGGCGTGAGTCAAAGCTGTACAGCGATTCAGTGTCTGAGAGGCTCTCCATGGTGGCCAGCGGTGCCCGCCGGGACTGTAGCTCTGCCGCCAGCCGCTCCTGGGTGGTCAGCAGTAACAGCTCTACAGGGTCTTGGCGGGCTGCTGATGCAGCAGCCACTGGGGACAGCAGCCGCCCCTCAGAGAAGCCCTCCAGGCTCATCTCAGACTGAGACTTGCTTCTGCAGGGGAAGAGCATAAGGGACGAGACTCAGAAGGACTGAGGAGACCCCTACTTCCCAGGCTAGAAGGAAGTGGTGGGGGGACAAGGACAGAATTAATTCAGTCCTTGTTGAATGGTTTGGAGGCAGGGAATCCTGACTTTTGAAAACCAACTCATAGTGTCTGGAGAGATGGCTCAGTGCTGTGAATGCACTGGCTGGGGCTGGAGAGATGGCTCAGAGATTAAGAGGTTGTTCTTCCAGAGGTTCTGAGTTCAATTCCCAGCAACTACATGGTGGCTCATACCGTCTGTAATGAGATCTGGTGCCCTCTTCTGGCCTGCAGGCATTCATGCAGGCGGAACACTGTATACTTAATAAACAAATAAATAAATCTAAAAAAAAAAAAAAAAAGCACTGGCTGTTCTTCCAGAGGACTTGAATTTGATTCCCAAAACCTACATGGTGGCTTACAACCATCTGTAACTCCAGTTCCAGGAGATCCAACACCCTCTTCTGACCTACAAGGGCACCAGACATGGTACACAGGCATACCTGCAGGCAAAATGCCCACACACATAAAAAAAAAATAAATTAAAGTCAGGTGGTGGTGGCGCACACCTTTAATCCCAGAGCTCAGGAAGCAGAGACAGGCAGATCTCTGTGAGTTCAAGGCCAGCCTGGGCTACAGAGCAAGTTCCAGGACAGGTTTCAAAGTTACACAGAGAAACCCTGTTTTGAAAAACCAAAATTAATTAATTAAAAAAAAGCCAATTCATAGGGCTGGAGATATGCCCCAGAGGTTACAAGTGCTTCTGCCCAGTCGTGAGACATGGCTTCGGATCCTACCACCCCTATCAGGCCACTCACAACCCCCAGTAACTCTTGCTCCAGGGAATTCAGCGCCCTCTTCTGGTCTCCATGGGCACCCACACATATGTGTACATATGCTCACATACACACAGATAAATAATAAAAATAAATCTAAAATAAAATGAGATAAACCCAATTCATAAGAAGCTAAGATAGAAAACAAAAGGCTGATGCTAGGTAGACAGGAGTGGGATCCCCAAAAGGCCTAAGACCCCACCAACAGCATTAAGATTTCTGGAGGAGTCTGGGTTCTATGCATCCATACCCATTATGGTACTAACCTACTAGGACATGAAGAGATTGGCTGCTCTGGCTCACTCATGAGGCTACAGTAAATGGGAGACACAGAGGGAAGGACAGAGAGCAGGGAGGAAGGGGAGAGGGATTCTGCCCCCCAACTTTCAGACCAGCACCTCTTCTATCCCTTCCTCACCCTGGGGTTCCCCCACACCTCCTATGCTGGAGAGGGGCAGCAAACTCTGCAGCTACCTTGCTCCGTTGGGAAGGAAGGAGGAACTGGGAAATGGGTGGTTGCCTCCCGTATAGTGGCCAAGGGCAGACTGAGTTCTTCATGGAGATATGTAACCACCACAAGAAACACACAAGGAAGGATGTCTGAGGTGTGTCCCTACCAAAGACCAGGAAGCAGTGACATCTTACTTCTCAGCAGCCAGATTTATAAGAAAGGATGCAAGGCCTGGGAGTCAGGGTCCCAGAAAGGCAGGACAACCTTCCCCTAGAAGGAGTGCCACTCTAGAACTCGCCATGATGTGTGTGCACATCTGTGAGAGCATGTGTATGCCTTGGTGCCTGTATGCAGCTGGATCATACGTACCTGTGTGCTATGGGTGTGGCACAATACAGCCATACTTTTACATGTCTACCTGTCCAAGTGTGCCCATAACCATGTGTGTTCTGCCTGCCTTGGTATGTGTCCTGTGTGGAGTATTTCTTATGAGGAACGCTTGTCATAAGCCCCAATGTATATGCATAGCTATGTAAGTACACGGATCTAATTAGGAATGGGCAAATTGGTGTTTAGGTCTGGTGTATATGGGTCTGTGTGTGCCTTGAAACCTCTCATACTTCCTGGAACCATGCCTCCCTCCCCAGACACTGATGGCAAGGTGAGAGACAGCTACAGAAGAGAGAGCAAGACTGAGTAGTGTTTAACTCCCACACTGAGCATATGGACATGGCTTTGGGGATATGCACAGGCCAACAGGCACACAGAATGCATGGATGTTCATGTACACAGCTATGCAGACTCTGGACCCACACTCCCTGGGGGCGGAGTGGGGATGGGAGACTTACTTGACACTGCTGTTACGATGGTCTGCAGCAGGCAGCTCCAGGGCCAGGCCGGTGGGCAGAGGTGGCCCCGTGGGCAGCGGCTGCTGTTGGAAGATTAGCTCAGGAGTGAGGTCTACCTCAGTGGGGCTCACCATGACCTTAGCAGCAGAAAGCAGTGCTGTCTTTCCCTTGTTGTAATTCTCCAGCACCTGAGGAAAGGATGGGGGGTGGGGCTGATGGTAGAGGGGTGGCCAGCCCAGTGCTGTGGCTTCCCAGAGCAAATAGCCTGATGGTTCAGTGGGGCCCCTTTCTTTGTGGATGGCCTGGGACTAGCCATGGGATGCTTGTCCCTAGAACAGCCAAGCTGGAGTACTCTTCTCTTTCTAGTCCTTCAGTGGCCCATGAAGTTAAATGCTGTCCCACTTAGCTACATAAGTGGTAACGGCCAACTTGCTTTCAGGGCCTCTACTTCCGCCTTTCTCTGGGATGGACCCCTAGGAATCTTCTGAATTCTCTCTTCCCTACCATGGGCCACGTGGTGTGTGGAAAGAGCCACGAGTGTAGAGTGGAAAGGTTGCAGGTCTTTCTGACTGTCAGGGCCCTGCTGGGGACTGTGGCTGGCCTGTCTCAGGACCCTGTCTTACAGGAGGGATATGGGGACCCAGCCGCTAGGACAGCCATGGGCTCTGCCTGCACTCACCTTGTTGAGCCCCTCCATGACCACATAGGGCAGGTGCTCATGCAGCATGGCTGGTGAGATGATCACCTCGTTAAAGGCTTTGTTGTCACCCCAGATGGCGAAGTATGTGGGCTCCTCCTGCTCACAGCAGCTGAGAGGGACACAGGTAGGGAAGAAAGGGGTCTGGGGCTCTGCTTTGGGCACTTGCTTAGGGACTAGGCTGGATTTGGAGGCCCCTGTCTACCCTGGGCTGCAGGTCAGTGCTCCCTTCCAGGCTACTTTGCCCGTAGCCTAAAAAGGCTGACCTGGAGCCTCAGTTGCAGTCCCTACAAGGCCTCCAGTTTGCTTTTGGTCTAGACTCCATCTGCTACCCCTGGGCAGGGCTCAGCTCTCCAGCTTTTTGTCGGGGGTTGGGGGTCAGTCTGTGTTAAGAGAGCTCAGGGCCCAGGGCTCTGAGAGTATGGCAGGAGAGCCTACCTACTGGTACACTGTTCTTGCATATGCCTCGGCCACAGTCTTGCCCACGTGTGTCTGTCACTAATGCAGGGACACTGAGGGATGAGCTGGCTAAGAGCCTGGTGGCTGCCATAGGTCATCCACTCCTAAATACATCAGGCTTAGGAAGAGCTGCCTTGGAAGACACCAGTCAAGGCCTGGCAGGGGTGCAAGGCAGAGGTGGGAGAGGCCTCAGTTTGGCCCAGCTGGACTGCCACCTTTGGGTCAGGTCCCTGATACCTGCTTCTAGATCTGATAAATGCCTAGGCTTGGCCCTGGCCCTGTGAGGGGTAGACACTGCTTCCAAGGGCTTGGCTCCTTCAGAGAGACACAGAATCATAAGTCCCTGTTGGATATGGACGTGGGCTGGGTTTTTAGCTCCCTTTCCATGGCTAGCAGCCGGAGGAACCCCTCTGTAGGGATTCTGGACTACTGTCTCTATCTCTGCTTCAGTTGTGAGTGGTTAAGTGACCAGTGGCCGGTCCAGTCTTCAGCAGCCCCTGCCCTGGACCCGCACCTACAGGAGTGGCCCAGATCCCCATTAGCACCTACCAGCACTGCTCTGCAGGGTGGTTATGGACCACGTGGATGATGCGGCCAGGTGGGTAGAGTGGGGTGCTAGCTGAAAGGGCGATGGTCAAATCACTGGGGTGGGTCCAGAGCCGTGTGCTGGCCAGAGTGGTCACCTCTACTTGATCCTCAGGCAGCTCTGACTTGGGGATACATTTCGTGGCCCCCACAATGATCCGCCACTGTATAGATCCAGGGAGAGGGAGAGAGAGAGAGCTGAGGAACTAGGTGGGTAGGATCAAGAGTGCTTTCAAGGAGGGGCTCAACAGATGAGAGGAGAGGGCTGGTGATGGAGGCAGTAGCCGGAACATTTAATGTTCTGTGCCCACCTTAAGAGGCAGTGGCTGAGGTGTACGGTTGCCAGGTGCCCAATAAGATGCCAAGGACAGATAGCATAGAATTGTTGCATTTCAGGGCTGGCAAGGGCCTGGAAGACTAGCCAAGCCCTCATCTGGTGAGTAGGGAACACACCTGGTAAGGGAGGGATCTGCTTTGGGTCACTGGTTAAGGCACTGTGGGACAGGCCTCAGTCTGAGCCAGCAGGGCCTGCTAGATCAGGTCCTAGATCTGAGGAATGCCTGTGCCTGGCTCTGTGAAGAGCAGACATTGCTTACAAGGACTAGGCTCCTTCAGGGAGACAGACACATGAGCCTATGCTGACCCATGGTCTAGCACCTGACCCAGGATCCCAATTGCGGGAAGGTCATGGGCACCAAGGCTAGGGAGGCTGCAGACAGGCAGCAGAAAGAGGGCGAGCAACTAGGGGTGGGCAGCTATCTCATAGAGCACCCTCTGATTGAGGAGGGCCTCCTACCCCAGGATGCTCCACCCCACCTGCATAGAAAGGGCCTTCAGGATCGTCCATGACCTGGGATGTGCTAGAATCAGCTGGCTCTCTCCCAGCCCCAGCAGAATAGTGAATGAGGCTGGGTTCAAACCCTCCACATGGAGCAACAGCCTTTCCTGAGCCTGGGCAACCTCAACAGGCCTTCCTCTGCCTGCCCAGTGTCCTTCGGGGACCGCCCTTCTCATGTCAGGGAGCTCTGTGCAGGAGCACTTCCAGTTCTGATGCCATGACAGCTTACTATATGAGCAAAGTCCCTTCCACACTGGACCTGTCTCCTCACCAATGGCAGCGATTGGATGGGCGGAGCTTGGACACTAAGGGTCTGATTGCCTCAAGTGTCCACACACAGCTGTGACCTCTTGTGCTTTGTCTCTGGGATCAGTGGGGAGCAACAAGAGGGACAGCCAGGACTTCCCAGTGGTCAGGGAGCTGGTGGGGGCTCACTTTGGGCTTGGTGCTTCGCTGAAGGACGTCCAGAAGCTGTCGGCGGAAACCCTCCAGCTGGGAAAGGCCAATCCTGTGGAAAGAAACGAGCATCAGCCTGGCCCAATCAAGGGCTGGAGAGGGGCAGGAGAGGGGGTGGTGGGGGCCCCTGGCCTCCAGAAGACAAGTCCAGCTGGGTCATGATGTAGAGACAAGCCAGGTCAGAGAGGCCACTCAGGAGAGTGCGGGACCTACACTGTCTTTCACCACAGGGCCACCAAGAGTGGGAAGGGACACTAGAGTCCTTAGGAAGAGGGTAAGGGAGGGGGCCTGAAGGAGATGTGAGTGCTGCAGAGTGGGGTGAGGCCTTGCTAGGGGACCACAGCAAGGGAGAGGGACTTACCTGGGAACAAGGTCTTTGCCCAGAACCACAGCAGTAACAAACTCTTTGGAGTACTCCATAGCATCCTCACTGCAGGAGAAGTCAAGGAAAAGGGCTCAGATCCAGAGCAGCTCCACTCTGCACCTGGGGGCGATGCTTTCCAGGGGGCTTATAATGCCAGGCTGGGCTTTAACCTCTGCCCTTCCTCCCTGTGCTTTATCACAGGCCTTTGGGGGAGGGGAGTCCACTGGGCAGGTTATAAACCCTCATCCTACCACCCGAGACCTGTCCGGTGCCATTCCCAGGCCTCCAGTGTTCAGAAGCCGTGCTGCCCAGTCCAGCCACCAGCTCTCAGTCCTGGCCAGCCCAAGTGAGCCCTTGGATCAGGTGTCCTAGCTGCTCCAGTTAGCTCTAAGGCCTCAAGCTTCTTACCTCAGCAGGCCTCCTGGCGGGGAGTAGGCGAAGCACTTGAGGGTCGGGTACTGAGGGCGCAGGAGGAAGGAGAGGATGGCAGCTGTGCCAGCGCCCAAGGAGTGGCCTACCACAATTAGGCCATAGTGTTTGGTTCCACGGCCCTGGGGACCAAGAGATGCCTGAGAGCCCTGCATCAGTTTCCCAGTGGACACTGGGAGGATGAGGGCTCTTCTCAGAGTCCTGGGATCATGCTGTCCTGCATGGATGCTAGGGCTGAGGTAGAGCCAAGCTGGATCCTCATAGGGAAAAGGCCTAGTGAGATTTTTCACACACTCCTACTCATCCTCTAGAGCCTTGCTCAGAAATTGCCTCCTCGAGGAAGCCCTCCCTGATTTATCAGCAACAGCTCCCTCCCTCCTAGGCATTGCACTTGTTCTTTGACCACTCTGGGGATCAGTTATAATTGTTTCATTACCTCATCCCTCCTCCCTGACCAATAGCCTAGAGTCTGTGAGACCTGGGAATGGGTGCTGGCAGCATCCTCAGGAGCTACCCAGGCTGCCACCCAGATGAGGTGCAGCCTTCTCCCTGCTCTGTGGCTGTTTTTGTCACCGGGTTCTGTAAAATTTGTTGCAACAAGTGTTCCTGACTCTGAGGCTAGCAGAGCACACATCTGGGAACCGCGGTACAGTGTGCTAAGCAAGGACACTTTGAGAAGAGGGAGCCTGGGAGGTGGGGTGGAGCCGGGTGGAGCTGGACATGTGGGAGGGACAGACAGGAGCTAGTGTTGGGTGAGGGGTGGCATCATTCACCCTTCCTCTCCAGGACAGGATGGCATGGAAAACCCCTCACCAGGTCTCGCCCAAAGGCCTGGGACAGGACCATCTCCTGCTCCAGCTTCTTCTTGATGTACTCAGCTGAGAGCACCATGCCCTGGAAGAGAGGAACAGAGCAGGGCTGATCGGCAGCCTCAGGGACCAGCAGGACCTCATGCAGTACTCCCTTCCAGCCGCCCTCAGAAAACAGGCTCTGGAGCCTGTGGGTCCTTCTGTGGTCCCATTTTGAATTGCATTTTCCAAGTGAGAAAATGGAGGTTCAGAGAGAGTCTGGCAGAAACAGGTGTGACATCTCCCCACTGCCTGCCCTGGAGCTTCAATGGACAGCCCCTGAACACCCGGGCCTCAGGCTGGGCAGGCCGACGAGACCACAGCCTCCTGTCTGCTCTCTGGGAGGAAAGAGCCTGCCAAACACAGGTGCCTGAGTGCTGTCTGGGGTTGGGAGCAAAGGTGAGGGCACCTCAGGATGTGGAGGCTGATACCTTGTGACCCAACCAAGTGCCTCGATGTCCCTCCACAGGGAGTCGCTCAGCATCTCCAGTCAGGTCAGTCAGGGCATCCTTGGGGAAAGAAGAAAGTCACTTAAGGGTGGCTGAGGAGGACAGGCAAGGGCCACAGTACTCGTGCCTATGCGGGAGTCATGGTAGCCTACCTTGGGGGACAGGGTTCCCCGGATACTGATCACCACTTTCTTCTTGTCATGGTCCACAGCTACGTAGAAGGGAGTTTCATAGACCTAGGAGTACCGTCTCATGAGCCTAAGTGACCCCAGAATGAGGCCAGACTTAGGGCGTGTCAATGAAACTCCCCACTGGCCACAGGGTCCTGAATCCCTGCCAAATCCAGGGCTCCTGGAGGTCGCTGAGGCTTCTTTGGTCCCTGGCCCCTCCCATTCCACTCTGCCTCAGGCAGCCCTGGGCTCATTCCAAATGGCTCACTGCCTCTCCCCAGTATCTTGGGTGTCTTCCATTTCCTTAAGGCTGAGGCTGGAGGCCCTAAAACTGAATGGGACTGACGTTTCATTCTCCCACCTAGATTGAGGCAGTGTGGGTCTGGGCGACCAAAATGGAGGAGGCCGTCTCTGGACTACATATTGGAGATGATCTGGAAGCTACAGCTGGCTTCACTGGCCAAAGGGATTGCTTTGGTGGCCCGGGTCCCCAGCCTGGCCCCTCACCGCATCGTGACAGGAGGTGTAGACGATGTCCACTGCGGTCATGTTCTCATCCAGGAAGTGACGGCGGATGGCAATCGCATTGCAACCACAGCAGTTGTCTTCCTCGATGGTGACACCAGGGGCGAATCGGGGTCGTGCAGGACAAAGACAGCACCTGGGAGGGGTGGCAGAGAGCTCAGGGCTAGTCAGCACCAATGGGATGGTTTTCCCCCTTCCACCCTCTCTGGAAGTGTCTCCTGGGGCTTCAGCTTCACCCTCTTTATGTCTCCTGACTCACTCCTGCTAAGCCCTGGTGACCTCTTTGTGGTCAAACCCTGGACCAGTTCACCACAGTTTCCAGGCAACACCTGACTCATGATTCCCTCCCTTCCTATTTGGCTGGAGATCTCCGTCTTTCTTCCCAGACTGAGCTTGCCCTCCCCTCTAGCAGCCTGCTTCACGCGCTCGCCATCAGCCCACCCTGGACCCCAGGAGACCCACTGCAGACCTCCAAAGGCACCGTACTGGACTCCTACGTGGCGTCTCCCCTAAACCCTACTGTCAGCCCTCCAGGTCCTCGCCCTACTCCCTGACCATAGCAGCTGCTCTCAGTCCACACCGGTCCACTTTGTCTTCACATACAAAACCAAACCCACCTCCTGTCCTTTCCCATGAGACTAACTTCTTCTCCCTGTCCACTCTTGCCCCTGCACTATCAACCCCGGAACACGGGGACCCTTTGAAGACACATCAAGCCACTACCGCATTTCCTCTTAGGACCCCATAGGAACACGTGCCCACCTTCAGCATGAAGGCCCGAGTCTTTTCTGGGCTCCACGCCATCTGGCCTTGTCTAACTGACTCCCTGACTCCTCATCTATACCACTCTTGCCTTTCCTTCTTCTCCCTCAGCTCCCTCACCGGATTCTGTGCACCTTATCCCCCTATACCCGTTAGTGTCCATCCCAAGGTGACCCTGCAGTGAGGTCGGCCCAGCTACCTCTCAAACAGGGCGAGTCCTGACATGACCCCAGTCCAGCAGTCAGTCCTTCCAAAGTACCCACACGCTGTGAGCTGCTCAAGTGTCCCCCATTCCTGGTATGTCCTGTCCTGTCCTGTCTTGGTAGGAGCTACACAGGGAAGGGCTGCTCTGTGCTAGTCACAGATGTTTCCCCTAGCGCCAAGCCTAGTGCACACAGGAGGCTCCAGGGGTAGATAAGCCAGGGCTGAACTGGTCACTCAGTTAGGGAGGGGGTGGGGAGAAATGCATCTGCCTCTCGGGCCACCAGGGGGAGCCAGCACCCAACAGATTGGGTGCCATGAGCTGGGCCGAGCGTGACAGGACTGCCAGCTGTGTCGAGTTGACATTCAGTGTGAGGTGTTTGTCTTCTCAGAGCAGCCTGTGGAACTGCGACTTCCCAACAGGGAGGAGCCTCACTGAGAAACCCCAGCGTCAAGCCAAGACCCGGAAATGCCTGAGCTTGGGAGTGGGACTGCCCGATACACAGGATACACATCCCAGAGTTGAGCCTGGAGAAGTCACCCTACCACCGGGCCAAGTGGTGGCAGGCTTGGCCCAGGGTCTGAGCTCCTACCTTCAAGCCTTCAGGAAGCTCCCCTCTTTCCTCAGCTGAGCAGGAGGCTTTAATGAGGTAGAGGAGAGTCAGAACTTAGGTTCAAATCCTTCCTGGTGTGTAACTTCCTGATTCTGCAGCCAAAGTCCAGCTAAGCCTCAACTTCCTTCCTGGCAGAGCCCTCACTGACTGCTGCTTCCCAAAGCTACTAGACCCAGCCTGTCCCTTGGTTTATGTCCCTTGTCCTGCTCCACCCACACACAATAGGCCCTGACAAAGTGGTGATGTCTCACCTGCCGGGGCAGACAACCTCGGCAGGGCCTGAGAGCTAGCGGAAGTGATAACAGCAGGCAGACAGTTGACCCTAAGACGGGTGCACAGCCTTCTCTCTCCCAGCATCCCTGTACTTCGGCCTTCCTCTCCACTTTACCCTCAGCTCATTCTCCCAGGAGGGGACCTGACTGTGTTCCACTGAGGCTGAGGAATCGTCCTCTGCCATTTCACACAGTTGCTTATATACTCTCACTGTTCTATGAGCATTAAGAGCCCCACTACCAGGGGCTCGCAATTCTGAACTGTCCTATGGGCTGATAGCGCCTGCTAGAACCAGGGAAACAGGCCCCCGACAAGTGGAGCAGGTCCACCTGCTTGGTGGGAGGCCTTGGGGCCCCTGGCCCGTGTTCATCTCCAGGGATGCAGGGGAAAATGACAGGCATGTACATTTGGCAGAGATGGGAGGAGCATGCAGTGACCTGGACTTCTCTGATCAGCTGCTGGGGGTGGTAAGAGCAAGGTCCCAAGAGCCACCAGCCTTTCTCAAGTAGGTGAGGATGCTGTCATCCCCCAGGACAAGGCATGGAGGACAGGGGTACTGGTCTATCAGGTCAGCTTTTCTGGAACAGGAGCCAGGGGAACTGTCCCGCTTCTGCCTGTCATGGGCTGGGGGTGGAGACACCACAGAAGGACAGGGTCCTTCCAAAGCCCTTCTCTGGCCCACTTAGAAGCACAGGGCCCTGGCTCTGGGTGGGGTTGAGGGCAGAGACAATTCAGGTCAGATTTGGGGGCCGGATCTTTCTCAGCTCAGAGCCTGGTAAAGCTTCTTGGTGCGTTTCTAGAGCCTCCATGGTGTGGGCCTAATTCCCAAGAAAGTTCTTTCTTCTTGAAAGGCAGAGCACAGGAGGGGAGCCAAGAGAAGGGAGATGTGGTCAGAGGGAATGGCTGCGGGGTGGGGGTAGAGGAAGGCCCAAAGAAGAAAGAAAAACCAGCAGTGTAGACACAGCAGTATGACATCTTAAAAATGGATATTATCACACCCCACCTACAGATGCAGAAAGTAAGGGTCACAGATGTGCACTGCCTTGCCCAGGGCTGCAACCGAAAGCCTGCATTCGAATCCAGAACCATGTAATTCTAGTCCGGGAAGGAAGCAGGAGAAAGGCCCAGTGACCTTATGGGAGAGAAGCTGCTTAGGGCCAGAGGAGGTGGGGGTGGGTAGCAGTCTCGAAGCCCTAGGGGAAGTAGGTACCAGCACACCATTGTATCCCCTCCCTCCACCCAATCTAGTGTGTCTGGGGACTGACAGTGTACTCACGAGCAGGACCGAGCCAGCTGGCAGAGGCCGCAGGTCGGCTTGCGCATCAGGTACATGGGCCAGCCATAGGCAGCCAGGGCGAAGAGCATGTAGTAGCAGACTTCTTTGTAGCGTAGCATCTCGTGCTGAAAGACAGGATTCAGAGGGCGGTAACCTCTGCCCCTCTTGCCTGCTACCTCAGCCACCACTAGTCCCTGAAGTAGGAGCCTGCCTACCTGCTCCAGTGGGGGACAGCTGTTGGTGGGGGAGGGGCAGCCCCTTCACATACTGATTGCACTTGCCCAATTATCTCCCTGTACCCAGGCCAGAATACTCATGAGACCTATGGTATCACAAGAGTCTTAGAATTCATGATTTGGAGACAGAAAATCACTCGGAGCACTGGCTTGTTTACCCAAGAAGGAAGGGAGTGTGGGATGTGAGTGGCAGTTGCCCCGCCTCAGCAATCAGGCCCTGGGGAACTTAACCCTGCAAAGCCCTGGGGCCTGCAGCTGTGTCTTGCCATGGGCAACAAGACAAGCCATGCTGGGCATGGAAACATGTCACCAAATGCCCCTGGCTCTCCAGTCTGACTCATGGAGTCCCAGGGTCCTGAGGTTGGGGGAAGCTGTCTCCCTGAGATTGGGATCTCGCTAGAGAAAGGCGCCACCGTGAAACCCAGGAGTCTGCTGCCCAACAACTGCTCTTGGTGCTGTGGTCGCTATCAGTGCTCCAAGCTGTCCAGAGGCAGGGTGGCAGTGTCCCAGGAAAGCCTGTCAGTCAGTCCCCAGCCCCTGGGCACCAGGACTGTGGCACTTAGAGGGAATTAGTCACCTTGTAAAACTTAAGGAGGGTGATTAGTCATCTTGTGCCGTGAACCAGGTAGGCCTCAATCAGCACCCCTCTGCCTGCTCTTCAGGAACTCAGGAAGGAGCCAGTAGCTGCAGAGGCAATTACCCTGGGTGATAGGACAGGGAGGGCGGGGCACTGGCAGCCTCTGCCAGGCGGCAGGTGCAGACTCTGCACCTCCCCCCAGGGGGTGGTAAGAGCTAGCCAGGCAAGGCCCTAGTGATTGGCAGGCATCTGAGTAGGGAAACCACCTGTGTATGTATGTGGCTGGTGAAATGAAATAATGTCAGATTTGGGGAGGCAAGATGCCTGGGGCTTTTCTAAAGGAAAGGGCCCAAGGGCTGAAGCTTCTCCAGACCTGTCTTGATTGGCCCCTGAGTTTCTAGCACCTTGCTGGACTGGATTTAGGATGGGCCACTTCCTCCGACTCCAGCTCTGGGTGTGAGGTGTGCCTAGGGCATTTCACGTCTGTCCTAAGGCTTTGAGGACGACTGACTTGCTCCAGGTCACAGAGAGCAGCCATGGAACAGGGATGCACCTACATCAGTTTGCTTTCCCTGGGCCAGGGTGACTGCTCCTGCTACCAGCTGTGCTTCCACCCTCAACCATGCTGGCCTGGGTTCGGCCTTCAGACGGTGGGACCCACTTTCCCTGTAACACATGGGCTTTCTACTTAAGGTGCTTGAGGAAAGTTTCTACTGCTAAAAAGGCTTGAAAGTGACGATGACACCCTGCCTATCATGAGGGCGGCAGCAGCAATAATGTCACAGCTTATACTGTGAAGCACTCTCTAGAAGACAGGGTCTAACGTTTTGGAGCTCGGTTAGCAGATTCATGGTCCTACTTATAGGCACGGCACAATGTGGGGGCTCTTGAGGGCCTGATCTGAGAAGAAATTCCCTGGACAGTTGTGCAAGAGTGGTGGGGTTGGCTCATACTATGGAGTTGTGGGGAGGTGGTAGGAAGAAGCACGGGGAGAGGAAGAGATTTCCAACTCACCGAGTTCTTGAGGTCGAGGTACTTGGTGTTTCGGGTCACTGGCATCCCAGACAGAAAAGCCAAGATGTCATTGTTTGCCTGGAAAACAGGCATGGTAAGATGGACAGTGGTCCAGACACGAAGATGAGGAGGGAGTTCAGTTTCAGCCTGCTTCAGAGGTCTGAGGGAGTGTGAGGTTTGCAGTTTTCCAAAATCATACCTCCCTGTATTTCTAGTTTCCCCATCCTCCCCAGACCTTCAACTCCCAGGGGATGGTCCGGAGCCACTCCAAAGGGAAAGGATTTTGTGTTAGATGTATAGAGACCAGCACTGGTGTGCTGGTAAGGACAGGAAGGCAGGGCAAACTTCAGACAGAAGGCTGAAGCACTTGAGCTGACATTGGTCATCTAACCCCAGTGACTAGCATGTCCTTGGAGGCTGGCCTCAGAAGCAGCCGCATGTGATCCAGAGAACATGCCACCCTATCGGGAGTCAGTAGAAAGGCTGTCTCAAGGTTTTGGCTAGGACAGTGGAGGGCGCGTGGGGGAGAGGAGGCCATGGGATCAGCAGCAGGGCCCACAGGTAGCTAGAGGCACTCACCTCATCCAGCACCGCATTGCGTTTGGCTCGCTGCCGCTGTCTAAGCAGCACCAGGCCAGCAATGATGTCGGAGGGCACGATGTCGAGGTCACGGAAAAATTCAGCAAAGAGGTAGGCAATTTCTGAGTAGGCATCCTGTCAAGCAAGGCCCAGGAAGGCGGGAGGAGAGAGGAAAGGGCATGAGTGAATCCCCGGGGCAGGGTCACCAGGAACCTCCATTATACTGGTCAACTTGGCCCTCACGCAACGGCTCTGTGCCGCTGGAACCTGGGGACCCTGTTCTGGGTTCTGGGCCATTACCATCTTAGCTGTTGATCCTTCCTCCTCCATCCAAATCTCTTCTCTCCACTGAGGTCCTACAGTTCATGCTACCCTTTGGTCACAAGTGCCAACCTGAGCCCTTACCTCTTTTCTTTCTCTAGATACCCAGAATCAAGGCCCAGGCAACCCTTCTCCAGCAGAGAAGCCACACAAAGCACTGGCTGCCCCTGTCCCACCTGCTGTGACCCAGGAAGTCCTGCTAAGAGCTGCCTCCCAGGTTTCAAGCTCCCCCTGCTCCCCAGGAGCCTCAGCTCAGTGGGCCCTGGAATGTGCTTGAGAAGAAGTACAATTTCATAGTCGGTGACCTCTCTGGCTTCGAGCTGGCCCTGGGCCTTGGGCAGGAGGCAAAGGACAGAGGCAAGTCCTGCCAGGTGTAGGTCCTGGGTCTCCCCTGCCTTTTGCTGCCTGGAACCTGTCAGGAGAGAGTGGAGTGGAAACAAACTCACGGCAACTGAATCTGCCTCACTGGGTCTTACCCTTGAGTGCCTGGCAAGCCAATGGCTGCAAGCTCAAACCTCTAAGGGGCCACACAGAGCCTGATACTGTTCAGTCCCAGCTGCCCAGCCTAAGGTGCCAGATTTGGACATACAGGCATTTATGTAAATGCTATTTTTTTTTTCAAAGACTGATTAAGTCTAGTTCTTTAGCAACAACATAAAAGCTGATGAAAATCACTCTGATGGGCTCTGCCCCTGGGCTGTCTGTATCTAACAGGACCATGCTCTGGGGACATGCGACCTTTACACCAGCTTCTCACAATGGCCCTGAAGTGATGTGTGCAGGAGAGGACTATGCCCTTCACAGCCCAGGCAAGCCTAGTTTCCACTGCCAGGGCTCCACTCTGCCTTCGGCATGGCACACCTGCAGCCAGGATCTAGGATCTCACAGGCATCCCTAGATGCCCCATGAGGGACTCACCTCCTGCCAGGGAACGCTGGGGCTTTCTTCTACTAGGTTACTCTAAGGTCCCTGGGGGGGGGGCGTTGTTAGGAGGGGCCATGCCAGGCTTCCTGGGGACATCTGAGGTGGGCACTTCGCTGCCCAACCCAGGAAGGAGTGGTCTCTTCTAGCTCTGCTACCAACCAGCTGTGGGATACTGAACAAACCATTCCATCTCTCTGGGTCTCAGCTCTCTAATCTACAAAATGAGGGGTGGGGCTGGATGACCTCTAACCTCCTGGCCTTACACTAAGGGGGTCCTCCTCCCTTTTGCTGGGCTTGCTCCTCAGAGCTTCAGAGATGAAGGCTGACTGTGTGCCACCCCACCCCAGGCTAAGCATTCAACAGACCCCCAGACCCACCCACTGCTGGCCACGTGCTACTCTTCTCGTAAATTAAACTGTGCTGCAAGGGGCTCCCAAGGGGGCACCAAGTCAGTCTTCATGCCTTTCTGTTTCCAACAAAACAGGGAATGGCTGCTTTACAGTGTGGAGCAGTCTATCAGTGACAGAACCACTGTCCAATGAGCAAGCTGCCACTCTGCTCACAACTAAAGCCCCGCCTCCTACCAGCCACTCACCTAACAATACCAGAGGAGTGAAAGGCACCTGCATGGCAGGGAAAGGCAAGCAACCCCAGGGACTTGGGTACTTACTGACTGGGAATCCTTTGTCCGGGTGCAACAGAGGAACACTTTAAGACGGCGGGACCAGCTGGTGGCCTGACCCTCCTCTAACCGGTGCCTGTGAAGGTAGACAGTTAACATGTTGAAGTCAGGGGACTGGACCAGAGGAGCTGGGCCAGATGTTACGGAAATAGGACGCTCTGTTCCCAGGACACACCAAAGAGCTCCCCAGAGGGCCTGGGTGGGGGTAGGCAGCAGGCTAGCTATAGCTGGGTGGCCAGTGACCTAGATATCAGCCAGCCAGGGTATTCCCTGGAGACTCTTGCTGGTCACCCTGGTGAGTTGTTGTGGGCTGGCGTAGTCTCTGACTTTTAGTAGACTGACCCACAGGCGTGACCTGGGGACTTGAGAGCTGGGAATCCAAAGTAGGGGCTACCCTGCAGCCAGGTAACTAAAGGCTCAACTGAAGGGCAGTAGGGGTGCCAGGCAGTGTGGCCTTGCTGTCCTCTGCCTTTCCCAGCAGAGGACTTCAGAAACTCATGTACTGAGTACTTAGAGGAGAGCTGGGGCTTGGACGAGGCCCTGGCATTTCCCAGTTCCGCACAGCTGCTGTCTGGGTAGGGCGCACGCACTGCCTGCATGGTCGCCCCATCCATTTTCTTCTCCCTCTTCAGCTCAGGTGGGGAGCTGGGGCGCTCAGAAGTCAGTGAGCAGAGGCAGAACAACAGGCTACTTCCCTATAAAAATAACATCGTGCTGGGCACCCAGGAAATCGGTGACATAAACCATGTTGATCTCCAAACCCTCCAAACTAGGCCAGAAAAGGCTGGCTGGGTTTGAGTAATGTGCTGCCCCTTTAAAAGCCTGTCACAGGATGGTGGGGGTGGGAAAGGGAGGCAAGGTGGCACTCAGATGCATTCAGGGCACTTTACAGTCACCAGGAATGAAGGACTGTCTCTCAATGAGCTTCTTGGCTCAGCTCTGCAGCCAAGAACTGCTCCCCATCCCTTTAACCCTGACTACATAGGCAGCTGACCAAAAGGAAGGCAGCAGGAGGGGCTAGGAGTGATGTAAGAGACCAGCTGTCTGGGGGACCTGCAGTCCCTAGGAAATGAAGCTGCCTTGCATCCCAAACCCATACCTCACCACCTTTGACAAAGACAGCATGAAGCTGGCCACACTAGGTTCTCAGGGCATCACATACGTTTTGCTTTCTGATCCAACCGGGCTTTCAAATATAGGATGTGAAATTTCTTCTCCAGCCTCTGGCTGGGTAGAAGTGCTCACCCCACTGGAATACCTCTCATGAACACCAGGGGGCAGATGATCGCAGGAATGCGTGAGAAGCAGACAGGTTTGGCCAAGTGCAGTCTACAGACCACGCTTGGGAAGACCACATACCAAGTCTGGACAGAAAGTTCACAGACCCCAACAGGCCTGTTGGGAGACTCATTATGTGAAAGGGGGGAGACATTCCTTCTACAAAAACCCAAGGTCAAGCCTCCTGGGAAACAGCGGGACTAACACACTCCCCCAGGCCCCACCAGATTTCACTGGAAAGAGAAAGGACCAAAAACTTAGACACAACCCTGGTTTTCAGAAACCGAAATAACTTAACCATGCGGCAGACGGGGTGTGCATGTCCCTGCCCTTGGGAGTTGATAGCCTGAAAAATGTCCCTGTTAGAAATGCTGTTAGTTTTAGAGCCAGTGGAGGACACTCAGGCAGGCGGTCAGTTTGACAGAGCCCCACAGCCAGACTGAGCTCTCCAGCCTTGCAGGAGACCTGGAGAAACCACAGCAGGTCACAGGCCTGTGAGCTATGGCTCTGACAGGGCCTGGAAACCACAGGGAGCTTCCTAATTAAAATGACAGCAAGCACCAGGCCTTGCAGTACAGGCTTCTACTGCCTGGAGCCCCAAAGCCAATCACCCAGAGTCAGAAAGGGAAGGGAGTTTTCTCCAGGGCCCAGGAGCCCAGAAACAGGTCGGCTGCAGCATGTGCTCAGGGCAAGCAAGTGGGACAGGGGGCGGTGGCCAGCTACACTGGGAGGGAAAAATGGGTTCTCAAGCCCTGGCTCCAAGGCCTGACATTTCAGGCTGGGAGGTGGCCAGACCAGGCATGGGTGTGGTGCTGGAGGCAGTGACAAGCTGACGGGCTGATGTGGAAGGTCTGAGGCATGAGTGGGAGTGGGGGGCAGGCCTGCTGGGCAGGGGTCTTGGCAGCCTGCTCCCTTGTGGCTTGGGGCAATGACTCAGATCCTCATCTATCGCAGGGGTCTTACAGCTGCTCTGGGATCGCAAAAGAACTAGCTGGATTAACCATGAAGGGCTAAGCTTATTGGAGAAGCCTGCTTACGGGGGCTACTGTACTGTACTGTGACTCATCCCGGGAGCCCCTTGTGTTCAATTAAGAGTCACTAATGGCCATGATGAACACCCTCTCTCAGTCTCTGCCATGCCACTTCTTTAAAATGCCTGGTGAAATCTCCTCCAGGAAGCCTTCCTTGTTTAACTTCTCACAACCTCTGAGACCTAGCGGGAACATCATAATTAAGCAAGGGCTCTGGATTAGGCTGAGAGCTAGTTCGCAGTCTCACCGCATAACCAAGCAATCGCATAACCTTTGTCCCTTGGTTTCTCCACTCCCATTAGAGGGAGGACACAGGTTGTAACTGGCTCTGAACAATGTTGTGTCTTCTGCTGTTAGCATAGTTGAGACTATGAGTCCTGTTGCTGCTGTCGACAGCAACTTCCCATTAACTCAGCCCACAGTGTTAACCGCTGGCATATATTATCCCACTTGAATCTCACAGTGACATCCTGAGCCAGTCCTGAGCCGAGAACTGTTATTCTTACTTTTCTTAAAAATAGGATCTCACTGTATAGCTCTGGCTGGCCTCAAACTCACTATGTAGACTAGGATGGCCTTGAACTGATCCCAAATGCCTCTGCCTCATTAGTTCTGAGTGCTAGGACTAAAGGTATTTGCCACCATGCTCACCCTATTCTTGCCTTTTCAACAAAGGAATTGAGGCAGTGAGAGGGCGAGGCTTTCACAAAGAGCCTTGGCTCACATGATGCTGACCTGTGATGTGGGAGGGAACAGGACCCTCCTCTGCCCACCAGTCTACAAAGCAAACTAGGGCACCACCCGCCTACTCAGTCAACTGACCGAAGGTTGTAAGTCCGCAGATTTCGCTGCCTTCTCTTGGTGGCTCTCAGCTTGACGAAAGTGCGGCCCGTGGGGTCAAAGACACAGAGGACAGTGATGCAGACGCTGAGGATGACCACCCAGTTGCAGACAACCATTCCTGTGGGCAGCAGCAATGAGAGGTGTCGGTTCGGCTTCCTGGGACATGAGCTCTGAACAAAGGGACACTGTAGCCTCTGTGTCCCCAGCTGCTTCTAAGACCTAAAAGGACACTCAGGAGTCTTTGATCTCCAAGGCCCATAGGCAGCTCTGTGGGCTTTTGAGAAGGTGTTGAAAAGCCCTAATGCTGCCTGGACAGTTCTGTGTTGGCTGCTGCTCACCCTGGCGAGGGCCCCATGTGAGATAGCAGAACCCAGGGTGAGGACGCATCCATGCTTGGGTGTCTCTCTATAGTGGTGCCTGGGCCCCATCCTCTGCAAGCTGGGTCCTATTACCACCCCTAGGGCTGGCTTCAGCTGATGGGGCAGATGGGGTGCATACCGAGGGTGACATTCTTAGCAGTGAGGTCATTGCAGGAGGTGTAATACTGCGTGAGCCAGACGATGCCCACGATAGCGTAGATGAACTCGATCACCAAAATGGCTGCAAGAAGAGGCAGGTTCTGACTAAGGGCCACTGTCCGCCACTAGGGAAGGACCCGCGAGCCTAAGCCTGGCTCCTGCTGCCAGGCCTCCAGCCATCTTACAGCAGGGGTGCACAGAGCCCTAGCCTGGTCCCTGGCAGTATGCTCCCAAGTTCTCAGGGCCTCCCCGAGACTGTCACTGGACAGGTGAACAAGGGAGAAGTGCTCCCAGCTTCTGAGGCTTTTATGATTTCATGCATGGGTTCCGGAATCAGACTCATTTTAGGCAAGCTACCTAATCTCTCGGAGCCTCCATTTCCTCATCCATATTTGAGAGTGCCAATAACTTCACCACAGAACACTGAAGGCTGGAACTCACAAAAACTATTGCTTCTTGGCAGACTTAGGAACTTGGGTTTGGTGGGGTAAGGGGGAGGAGAGAGGAGTCCCAGGAGACAACCCATGGTGCCCCATGTGCTCAGTGTTCTAAGCCCAGAGCCCCAGTGGGAGTGGGAGGGAACTATGACAGCCTGGCAGGGCCAGCAACATATAGTAACTAAGAGCCTAGACTATGGAGCCAGATAGAAGCATGGGTTCAAATCCCAGCTCTGACGCTTGCATCCTGACTGAGTTGTGAGACCTTGAAAGAGCTCATGAGTCTTCTTGGGCTGCAGTTTCCTCATCTACAAAACAAAACTGACATTTTCATCTCCAGGAGCTGTAGAGACATTTGAGAGAAATGCCCCCTAGGAATACCCCAGAGGCTGCTGGGACATGGTCCAAAAGAGATACAGGCTGGTTCTCAGGGGAGCTGGCGTGTCCTGGCCTCAGGATTTTCCCCATCTATTTCAGAAGAATTACCAGTGCACTTTTCAGGCAATCTCACAGTTTCAAATAGGGGTCAGCTAAGTTTGTCTATGAAGGGCCAAGAGGGCAAACATTTTAGACTCCATGATCATCTAGTCAGAAAAGCTGTTTCTCAGCTCTATTGCTATGCTACCAAAGCAGAAGAAACGACACAAAAATAAGTGGGGTATGTTCCCCAATGAAAAGATTCACAAAACAGCCATGGGGATGGACTGGGCCCTTGGGTCTAGAATGTCAGTCAGTCCAGTAAGGCACCTCATGCTCCCCAAGGTTTGGGTCTTAGTTTGTGTTAGCAATCAAAACCAGAGGAAGTGCAGAAGGGTGTGGGGCTCTAGGACTTCCCCAGCCCCCAGCAAGGGGTCCCTTACCCAGGCGCACGTAGAGCACGTACTGCATGGAGTCCCGGGGTTCCGTGTAGAGGATGCCGCCACGCATGCTCAGCCAGATGATGGCCATCTCGGCGATCATGCAGCTCAGAAGGATGCCCAGGTAGCCGCGGCCGTGGTCTACCAGGTTTAGGGAGCAGGCCTCGTGTGGGTTATAGACCAGGCCGAAGAGCACCACGGACAGGATCACAAACCTGCAGAAGGGCACGGGTGAGCAAGGGAGGGCTACCTCTGTGCCTTGTGCTGCCCACGGCTGGCAGAGCCAGTGTAGCTCAGAAGGAGGAAAGGGAGGCAGGTATCTGCCCAACAATAACATCATCCACCTAGGCTGGATGGTGGTGGCGCATGCCTTTAATCCCAGCACTCAGGAGACTGAGACAGATGGATCCCTGTGAATTCGAGGCCAGCCTGGTCTACAGAGCTAGTTCTAGGACAGACTCCAAAAGCTACAGAGAAATCCTCCCTCAAAAAATTAAAAAAAAAAAAAAAGAAAAGAAAAAAAACATTGTCCACCTAGATTTGGGTGCCTCTGAGGTGCCCTGTTGTCATCATGGGGAGGTGGTGGCAGCTACTATGCCCACTGCCAAAGTCAGGAGGATTGCTGGTCTGGAGGGGTTCTGACTCCTGTGGGCAAACCTAGAGGAGTGCCTGGGAGCAGGGCAGTCAGGTTTGGGCCTGGCATGGAGGAACAGGTAGTCAGAAAGCTTCCCTCCATACTTTTCTCCTCAAACCCAGGACTGTGGCCTCAGCTCTGAGACTCACCAGGTGGTGTGCAGGAGGAAGAGGAAGATGGCTGGCAGGACGAGGTCATCGCTGCCCACAGACCAGCGCCTCCGGAACACCACGATCCCGGGCATGGCTGGCAGCTCTGGGAGGTTCAGCGGGCCTGGTGCTCACCTCCTGAAAGCAAGAAGAGAACCCTGGAGCTGTTTGGGCTCCTACCAGGTGTAGTCAGCAGCACACGCATCTTGGGTATTGGCACCAACCCCCATCCATGCCTCATGGGCCTCCAGGCACCAGAGATAAAGAAGCTGCCCCTGCCCTCTCGAGCCTCATAACAATAAAAGCCTTAGCAATAGGACACCAATCTCAGCAGTGACCCTTGAGGTCACTCCTACCCACCACCAGATTGCCACTGCCTAACATCATTCCCATAGTAACTACTCAGCTCCACTGAAGACCTAGGTCCTGTTTGGCCTGCCTAAAATCCCAGCACTTGGGAGATTAAGGCAGGAGAAGCATGATTTTGAGGTCAGTCTCCATCTCAAAAAAGCGACAAAAAGACCCTAAATTCATTCTCTCTTTCCCCCTACATGGGATCGATGGAAGACTCAGTCCCTGGAGCCCTCACTGTCTTTCCACAGGAAACTCTGACCAGTACTCACAGTTCTGGGCCAAGGCTTCCAAAATCAAGAACAAGCAACCCTTAGCACAGAGCCCCGTAGAGCGGCAGGAATGCTGAAGGCACGAGAGGAGTATATGAGTGGTGGCGGCTGGGACTAACGAACACCAAGGGTGACGATGCCCAGCATACAGTAGATCTTGGTAAGCCTTTGCACAGTGAGGTCTTTGGCTTCTTGTTTGCTGGAGCCCACTGAGCTGCTGAGTGTGGTTTGACTTGGTTTCACTTTGTTTTGCACCCCTCTGACAAAACTTTGAGCCACTGTCACACTGCCACGGTTCTGGGTAGGAGGGGCTGTTGTGGAAGCCAGGGTTTAGACTGTGGACATCTGCCCCTCACTGGGAGGATAGCAGCCGTTCTAACACACTCACTGCTAGCCTGAATGCTCTCACTGCTTGGTGCCTATTTCTCTCAAGTAGCTGGATACAAACCAGTCACCAGTGAGCCCCGGAGTGGTGGCCAGGAGCTGGGGGCCTCCTTTGAAACTGGGAGAAAAAAGTGGAATGCTGGTCTGAGCAGAGACCCAGGCTTGCTCCAGGGTAGTGGCTGCCCTATGCGGAGAGGAACTCCTACCCTAGAGGGCTGGGCACACTGCTAGAGGGCACCTACCCTGCAAAGCCAGCAGAAGCTTACGTGGCACCTGGTCCAGGGCGGGCAGCAGGTCCTCCTTTTCCTAATGACAGCTCCAAGGAAAATGTATGTATGCAGAGATCGGACTCACCAGGGAAGGGACCAGGCAAGCCTTCTGAGAACAGTGACCACAGCCCTGACAGTGAACAAGGGGACATGGGGCCAGGTGGCTGGGCAGCATGTCACGTTGGGCCAGGCTCCACTGCTGGGCTTATCTTCCAGGAGCAGACAGTGCAAGCTCTCAGGAGGGAGCCCAGAAGCAGAGCTGGCTGCTGCCTGAGCAGTAGGCTGGGCTAGCCTGCTGGGGTCGTCGTGCCTACTCCCCCCTCAGGAAGTGACATCATCCCATTCTCAAGGAGGAGTCAAGCCGATTGTGGGAAGCAGGAGAAGGATGGGGAGGGAAGAAGATGCAGCTGCGCTGGGTGGCTCAGGTATGGGGAGGTCCACTGTGGACAGAGAACCAGGACTGGAGCGAAATCTGGGACAAGTAGTCCAGGACAGGGCTTAGAGCTTGGAGGAATGGGATGGGAGTGAGCTGAGGCATCATGGGTGGTAGCAAGGCTGGGACATAAGAGCTGCCAACAGCTGGTGTACCTGTTCCCTGTCTGCAGGTGGCTCACAGAGTGGGAAGCTGAAGGTGGGACACCGCCCCCCCCCCACACTCTCTCAATGAACCCAGTGAGGTGCAGCTGGTACCAAGTCACCACCTTCTGAGGCCCTGCACTGTACCCTCATCAGGCCAGGGGAGAGCCAGTGCCATGCTTGCCTACAGAGGTTGGTCAGGGAGGGCCCTGCCCTGCAGTGTTCTCTCTAGCTCCCAGATTAGAGAAGTGAGCCAAGACTGGCCCCAGATCTTATAGCCATGACTGTAGGACCATCAGTGATAGGAATAATAGGGCAAGAGCAGCTTCTGCTCTGGGGGCGAGGAGGTGGCCATGCTGTGGCTAACAACTGTGGTCAGAACCAGGGCCTTTCTACCACACGGTAGAGTTTTGAGGGGCTGGCCCCACACATGTCCTGTTACTAGCTTGGGGGTCTTTACCCCTCCAAGATCCCCTCCAGCTTCTGCCCCAGGCAGCTAACCTAACAAGGTCCTAGATTCAGTAGGTGGGAGTCCAGGTCCAGGAGCTATAAGCCCAGCATCTACCACCCAACTGTGTAACTTACTAGTTGTGCCTCAATTTCCTCATCTGTGAAATGCCGATTATGCTTCCCTCTTAAAGTTCCAGGCAGGATCCCAAGAGAGAAGGTCTGCAGAACCCTCACAACGCTGGACAAATGCCAGAGCACATCAGTGGGCATGGAGGGGCCGAGGGAGTGCGTGTGAACCCCTGGCAGCCCAGCTGCCCTCCCAGGCCAGGCAGTAGAATCTTCAGCTGGTCACCACCAGGTCACAGGATGGGGGAGGCAGGGGGCATCCCTGTACAGATTCATAAATCCTAAGGCTTCTATTTTTATGGGCCTGAAAGGAGTCCTTTCTCTGGAGACCCCAGCCCATCACAATGGGGGCCTGTTCCCCTGCTGGGCTGTGATTTCATCTGGAGGAAATGTCTTAGGAGGGGGAGGGCCTGGCCACTTCCTGGCCTGGGGCAGCTACAGAGTACCTCCTCAGTCTCCCCCTCTCCACCCCAAGTGGCCTCTAATGACTAAACTGTGGTGGGGTCAGGACTCTGCCTCCCAGGTCCTGAGGACTTCCAAGGCAGGCCACACCCTCTCCAGCAGGAGTTCTGTTGTCCCTGCCTTGGCAGGTGTTAAGGGGGTACTAGGACCCAGGCAGGTGCGAAGATATACTAGGACACAGGTGGGTGTGAAGATGTACCAGGACCCAGGCAGGTGTGAAGGAGTACAGGACCCAGGTGGGTGTGAAGGGGTACAGGACCCAGGCAGGTGTGAAGGAGTACAGGACCCAGGCGGGTGTGAAGGAGTACAAGGACCCAGGCAGGTGTGAAGGAGTACAGGACCCAGGCGGGTGTGAAGGAGTACAGGACCCAGGTGGGTGTGAAGGGATACAGGACCCAGGAAGGTGTGAAGGAGTACAAGGACCCAGGCAGGTGTGAAGGGGTACAAGACCCAGAAAGGTGTGAAGGGGTACAAGGACCCAGGCAGGTGTGAAGAGGTACTAGGACCCAGGTGGGTGTGAAGGGGTTCTAGGACCCAGGTGGGGCAAAGGGGTACCAGGACCCAGGTGGGTGTGAAGGGGTACAGGACCCAGGCAGGTGTGAAGGGGTACAGGACCCAGGTGGGTGTGAAGGGGTACAGGACCCAGGAAGGTGTGAAGGGAAGCCAAGAGAACCCTTTGTGTGCATGGAATGACTTAAAGTTGTAGCCCTAAGGGGCCTCTTCCTCTGCCCTCTCCCTTACCATGACCCAATTTTCCAGGTGATGATTTAGGCCTCTGGGTTAAATATTGAACATTCTGCAAGTTCCTCTTTCTAAAAATACAAACTACTTTCTTAAATGCGCATGTTGTCTTCTCCGTTGATTATTTTATTATTATTATTATTATTATTATTATTATTATTATTATTATTATTATTGGGTCTCTGTATCTCAAGCTGGTCTCAAAACCTGTATTTAGACCCTGTATTTGAATTTCTGATTCTCCTGCCTCTGCCTCCAGGGTGCTGGAATTACAGGTAATGTGCCCCACCCCTGGTTTTATGTGGTATTACAGATCAAACCTGGGAACTTTCTCTACTTCTAGGCCAAAAGGGTTCAGGGGCACACAGTTTGCCCTTGGGGGGCAGGAACCTTCTAGTTAGGGAGACTCTCCAACCCCTCACAGTCCCACATTCCCTTTCTGACGTGTCCCCCATATGCCCCAAGTTTGCTACTTTCTGCAGAGGCCTCAGTGACCACTCCTTTATGGGGGCTGTAGCCCCCTCAAACCCAGCCTGACCCAGACAGGCCCTGCAGTTACTTTTTTAATTTACTGCTGTTATTGCCTGGGCTCAAATGAGAGTCTTGGGGGTTAGGGCTTCAATATCCATACAAGGCCTGGTGGCATCACCCCAAACCACCACCATATTGCCAAGGCTGCCAGGAACAGCTATGTCCTGGTCAGGAAGTAAACAGCAGCCCCTTCTCAGCTTATACCCACTCTGCTTGCCAGCCAGTGCCCCTAGATAGCTCAGTGGCGCCCCCTGCAACCATCTGAACAGTGCTAGGTGGTTCCTGCCTTGGTAAAATGGGCTGCAGTGACAATGGGTAGGTATCAACCCTACAGGGCTGCCATGGGCCTGAGGTGGGCATTGCAGGAGAACCCTCAGGTCTACTGACGACCTAGAACTGCCAGGGACCAAAGGACAGACACACTGAAAGCCTTGTCCTGAAGATCCCATGGCGAGGACCCCGGCAGCCTGTGTTGTCTGTCAGCCTGGCATCGCAGGCACATACACACCAGGGCCACCACTCCAGAATCCCTGAGGAGTCTGCCCTGTCTTTCTCCTTTCCAGGCCTGCAGCCCATCTGGGAAGGGTGGCCGAGGGGCTGGCCTTTGAAAGCACAGGAAGGGATATGGTGGCAGAGGAGGTGACAGAAAGTCGCGTGGGCTGAGGGCCGCGTGCGCCACCAGCCTGTGCCCGGGTGTGTGCAACCCAAGTTAGGGGCCGGAAAGCTGTTGCTTTTCACACATCAGCTGTGCTGGAGCAGAAGGCAGAACTGAGTCTGCCCAGGGCCGGGGCAGAATTTCAACAGCAGAGGGGTCCTCAAATGCCTGGCCCCATGGAGCATAGACAGTATGCCTGTGGCAGCTGGGCCAGGAGAGGAAAGTCAGGGTCTAAGACTAACAGACACTTGTCACATCCTCACCCCCACCCCATGGCCTTGAAGGGCAGAGTTTCACTTCCTCTGCCCCTCACCATTATAG